CTATCAAAAATGATAACTGTATGAGGGCTTGTAACAATATCTGATTAAAAAGAAAAAAAAGAAGACTTATTCTATCAAAAATGATAACTGTATGAGGGCTTGTAACAATATCTGATTAAAAAGAAAAAAAAGAAGACTTATTCTATCAAAAATGATAACTGTATGAGGGCTTGTAACAATATCTGATTACAAAGGGGAAAAAAAGTAATTCATCCATATTAACAAAGATTTATTACTTAACAATACGTGTGCTTGTAAAAGTTATCTAATTAAAAGAATGAAAAAAGACACATTCACCTATATTAACAAAGATAGCAACAGGTGTGCTTGTAAAAAATGTCTGATTTAAAAAGGAGGAATAAATAGACTAATCTATCTATACTAAAAATAATAAGAATAATGTTCTTGTAAAAAATATCTGATGAAAAAGGGAAAAAGGACTAATTCATCTATCTAGATCAACAATGATAACAATACGTGAGCTTGTAAAAGAAATCTGACGAAAAAGGACAAAAAAGACTAATTCATCTATATTAACTATGATAACAATGATAACAATGATAACAATGATAACAATGATAACAATGGTAACAATGATAACAATGATAACAATGATAACAATGGTAACAATGATAACAATGATAACAATGATAACAATATGTGCTTGTAAAAAATATAAGAATGAGAAGGAAAAAAAAAGCCAAAATTGTATCTATATTTACAGTGATAACATGTGTGCTTGTAAAAAATATCTATTTAAAAAGGACAAAAAAGTATTTTTTTCATCTATATCATCAATGATGATAACAATATGTGAGCTTGTAAAAAATATCAGATCAAAAAAGGGGAAAAGGGCGAACATTCATCTATATCATCAATGATGATAACAATATGTGTGCTTGTAAAAACTTATCTGATTAAAATTTTTTTTTAAAGACAAAAATTCATGTATATTAACGATAGAACATACATTGTAACCGTCAAATCTTTCCCATGGGAACAGTGGTGCACTAAATAGAACACATATTGTAACAAGGCACTCGTAAATAGAACATACATAAAACATACACTGTAACAGTGACGCTCGTACATAGAACATACATTGTAACAGTGACGCTCGTACATAGAACATACATTGTAACAGTGACGCTCGTACATAGAACATACATTGTAACAGTGACACTCGTACATAGAACATACATTGTAACAAGGCACTCGTATATAGAACATACATAGAACACACATTGTATAGATCATTCCTTTTCGTCTGACCGCGGTTAAAAAGGATAAAAAACAAAGAGCTCTGTTTAATCTTTCTGGGTCTTTGCATGCGGCTCTAAAAGTTAAGCGACCAACAGAATCTGAAAGACCATTCATAAAAGTCACTGCTAACTAATGTTTCGACACGACAACTTTTTTTTGGGGGCCGGGTCAAGATCTTTTTGAAAAAAATTTTTGTTTGGTCGCTGGCCTACAGAAGTGCCATGTTAAGTCTGGGGGGCATAGGGAAATTCCTCAACGTGCTCGAATATTTTTTTACGCGTTCAGACGAAAGTGAAGAAGCTATAACAGTAAGATCTTGCCCTTAGGAACAGTGCACAAGTTGTGGCCACGGACGTATGATGACAGTGGTGCGCCAGGCCCTAGTGCTTTGTTTTAGTAAGGTCATGTAAGTGCCCGCCGAAGAATAAAGGTGTTACAAGAGAGTAACAAACATAAAAAGAAGGAGGACAGATAAGGACAATAGATGTTCGATAGGAAAGAAGGGGCCAACCACACCAGAGCACCCGCCAACCACCCACAGGCACTATCGCGTGTCAGGGATTTCACACAAGAAGCCGACATGAGCAGACGACTGTTGGGTGTCGACCTGGCACGGGACGGCTCGCATCTTGACCTCATTGTGTAGAGCGGTCAGGGCCAGGCAGTGTCCGCCATCTTGCTGGTACCGTGACGTGGGTGGAGAGGCAAGATCCAGAATCGATACCGGCTTCTGGTCGTGGATGTCTACCCAGTGCCCCCAGCGGTATCGATCCGTGCCGCTGATCCACACCGTGGTATCGTCGGTCAGTTGGGACAGGATGAACTGTTTGAGGAAAATGTATTCATCGCGGTCTGTGACAGCCGCCAACCGCCCTCCCATGGCCTCACACAGACTCGCTGACTCGTCCACGGCCGATGGGGAACACTGTGGACAGGGACGGTAGACTTTTAAAAAAGTGTTTTACGGCGCTCACAACTGCATAAGGTCATAGGAATGCGCAAGACATTTTAAACATTTTTTGGTTGGTAGGAAATTTTTAAAATTTTGCCCGTGTAGCGGTCGAAGCCTACTCTTATCGATTTTACACCACCAAGGGATAATTCATGGTGCGCAACTTGCACACAGGACCTCCGAGATTTTTCTCCCTTGTCCGAGAAGGCTAGGTGTAGATCTTTCCTACCAGAAGATTAGGGGTGTGGCTGAAAGACAGCAGTAAGTAGGAGCCAAGGAGTAGCAGTAGAACGGCTGCAGAAAGAGTCAGGAGCCCAGAGGAGGGGGCAAAGGAGGTGAGGGGGTGGTGGGCAGAAAGTGGAAACAAAAGCAGACGACAGAACATTGCTAGAGAGCAGGAAAGGAAATGAAAGCAGACGACAGAACATTGCTAGAGAGCAGGAAAGGAAATGAAAGCAGACGACAGAACATTGCTAGAGAGCAGGAAAGGAAATGAAAG